AGGAGCATCCCGCGGGTGGCTTTGGGGACAGCTCCGCTCTCACCTGCCCGGCACCGCCCAGGTGTCCCGGCACCGCCCAGGTGTCCCGGCACCGCCCAGGTGTCCCGGCACCGCCCAGGTGTCCCGGTACCGCCCAGGTGTCCCAGCCCCGCAAGGCCGGGAATGAACCGGCCCCGTTGGTCCGTGCCCGCCGGTGGCTCCCGGGCTGGATGGAGCCCGCTCCTCCCAGGCCAGAAAAGCTAATGAAGTCTATGTGCCAGCTGTTACACTCATTTTGCCAGACCCCAGGAGGACAGCATGAAGACAGTCAGTGATCAAAGGCTCTGGAGATCACTGAGGAGCCGAGCGGCAGGAATGTCTGATTGCTTTCTCTTGGAATGCCACAGGCTTCAATACCTCCTTTTTTTCTTCTTCTTTTTTTTTTTTTTAAGGTGTCTTGGTGTGAGATTTAATGATCTAACTCAGCTTGCTCACGCTGAAGCCAGAGTATTTTAGTTCATTCAAGGGTATTCATTTGCTCTAAATTTAGGTGGTTACAAAATTTGTGGATTTTGTTTTACTGATAGCAAGTTAAAGTGTTTCTTAATAATTCTAATAAATTATCTAGGGAAAAAAACCCAATTTGCTGAGTTTTGGGTGTTACATTACATACAGCATTATAAAGTGAGGTGGGATGAATCAATTTTGAGTTGCTACTGTTTAGGGAAAATGGTAAATGTGTGTATCCAGAGCTGGAACACTCCAGAGGGCTGTCATGGTGCAGCTGCTGGGCAGTGCTGCCCCTGAGGCTCAGTCACTTTTTCCTTGGGCTTCTTAGCAAAGGCCATCAGCTTCTGGAGGTGCAGTGGCAACCTGAATAACTCCCTCTGTTCCCGGGTGTGCTGTTTCCTTCCTCCTCCTCTTCTGCTCTACCCAACGTTTATAGGACCTGTAGCGTTTGGGTAGTGCAGAAACCCCTCCTCATTTAGCTGTTCCTTGTGGAACAGCTCACTGAAGGTTGGAGTGTTGGAGTGGGGAGTGATGGAGCAGGAGTGCAGTAACAGATCAAAATGCGGTGCTGGCTGTTGGGAAGGAAGGTCCTGGTGTTGTTCTGCCAGCTGGTCTGAGATGGCAGGAAGATGATTCAGGGAGCTAAACCAAAATGGGGATGAGATAATGCTCTTTTCATAGTGACTCTGCCCTCAGCTGCAAGGGTGGAGAGGAGAAGTTCACGGTCCAGTAAATAAGTGGGGCAGGATCTCAGCTGTGTTTGGAAGGACACTGGAGCTCAGCTCAGTGAAAACACCATTTTGTCATCTTTTAGAGTGCAAAACCTTATTTGGGGACAAGCATGGGTAGGAGTGAGTTAATTTGGAGGCTGCCAGGACCAGACCTGTGGAGCTGTACATTCAAGACCACTGGAGAAACAGTGATAACCATGAAGCTTTGGGAAGAGACAAGAGGGTCACTGCCAGGGCTGCAGAAATCCCAGCTGCTCTGGTGCCTGTACCTCCCCATCTTGACTTCATTGTGCCCAAGGGTGCTCCCTGGTCCAGGATTACCCGTGTCCATCCTGGTGAGGTCTCCAAGCACATGTGCCCATGTGCCAGCTGCCCTGCAGCATCCTGTGTGCCAGGCTGATGTGCCATTCTGGCACTGGGGACAGCCCTGCTCCTGCACTGGGATACCACTGCTGGACTGTCCCTTACCCTGTGTCTGGAGTTAGAGGTGATAGTTTGTTTTCTTGCCTGTGCACGGCATTCCTGAGGTTGCAGGGCTGGAACTGGGAGCTGCTGCACACCTGTCCCCACGGCTCTGTGCTCAGGGCTTCCTTTCATAAAGGCTCTGTGACAAATGAGGCACACAGCTAGAATTGTGACACGTGCAGAAATACTTTGTGTTACTAATTACGTCCAGAAGTACCAGGCACACGTCCCTGGGTGCCCCTGTGTGTGCAGTGTGCTTCTGAGGGGCAGGCAGCCATTGGAAGGGTCGGGGTGACCCCTCTCCCTGACACAAGTCTGTTATCTTCCTTCTTTCCCTTGATCCATGAGCAATAACCCACTCCAGAGCTGACAAGGAGGTCAAGTGCTGCATGAAGATAACTGGAGGATGACTTGAGGTGAAGAGGTCTGGGTGGAAGTAGGAGAAGTGTGGCCTTTGCCATGCTGTGCCTTTCTGCTGGGCTGGAGAAATGGCCAGTGAAAGTGAAGTAAATGTACATTGTCGTGTTCCACACAAAACATGTCTTTCTCTATTCAACCTTGAATATTATTAATATGAATAACTCCTCTTTTTGTTTAAAGTGCTCGGACAGCGACACCTCTTATTTCAATATAATTTTGACTATTTGATCCACAAGCAGTGGGGATACGTCCACCCAATCTAGGAACAGTGAACAGTGGGCAGAGTTGTTCTGAGCAGACTTCATCTTGGACTCTAGGGCACTAAAATGCAGTCACATCTAACCAAGAGGCTCCTCTTTCAGATTCAAACAGAGCTCCAGTGACTGGTACTTGCTGTCAAAATGTCCCAAATTTGCTATCAAAATAACCCCTCAGGGTTATTGAAAAGATGGCAAAGGGGAAGAGTGATGTTATTCCATCTCTAGGGCTTTTAAAATACAATATTAAAGAGGCAAAGTTTCTCCACGGGATTTCTAAAGACCAAAATCTACGAGCTGTGTTCTTGCCCTCTTCTCTGTATTTAATATTTAACAAGGGGCTTCTGGAGTGTCACCATCTGCATAAGAAAAAGAAAGAAGCATTTTTTGGTTATGTTGTGTTGCTGGGTCTTATCTTCCCCTGTGTTCCCAATAAGATGTTTCTGCCATCCCTTCAGAAGCAGATGTTGAGAAGCTTCATTCAGATGCCCAAGTGTTGATGCTGAACAATCCTAGTTAAAGCCAATATTTTTCCTTTTTTTCCCCTCAGTCAGAGAACTTTGGTCTTTGTGGCTCACTGTGTGTACTCACTGCTTTGCAGTTGATCTTACCACTCCACAAAGCTGCAAAAGCCAAACTGGTAGGTCAAAAGAGGAGTAGCTGTTGACACTGGCAGTGAGGAACATGTAAGGAGAAAGATAAACAGAGGGAAATCAGAGCCTGGATAAAGTAGATCTCCAAAGATAAAGTTTAGTTAAAGATAATGAGCTGGCCTTGTTTAAAAAGACAGCTGCAAAATAACCCAGTAGCTCCATGTGCTGGGGTTAAAGTTGACCCAGAATATACGTTTCATTGCTTTTGATAAATAAATAGTGGAGGGAAGATTTGGCAAAAAGCAACATTGCCCCCAGCCCTCTTCAGCAAAGTGTTTGATGTTAACAAGTTCTCTGGGTGTTTACTTTGTCCTCTGCGTGCGCTGGTGGAGCGGTGCTCCTGCCCTTGAACCGAGGGAGAATTCAAATAAACCAACCCCTTCGGCACAGCTGGGCTCTTCTGCCATCTGTGGCTTCCCAAAACAGCCCCAGCTCGCCTTGGGAACCAGCCTGGGCCACAGCATGGCTGGGTCTTCCCAACAGCTGAAAGAAATTTGCTGGATGAGATAAAACTGCCCAGAAATGGGAGCAGAACTCAGCAGCGTTTCTTGCTGCCCTCTCGAGCTGTCAGTGTAACCCAGAGTGCAGTTTGTGGGCAGACGTGGCTGTGAGCAAACAGCTCCATAAAATCCAGAGTGATTCTTTAATTATGATTGGAGGCTTTTCCTGATGCTTAATTTGCATACAGACTTTACAGTGATGCTGTGATGATAAAATATGGTTATTTTTAAATAAACCACAGGAATAATTTTGCTGTTGATATCTGGATCCAGCTTCTTGGAAAGCAGATAGCTCTGTGAACACTCAATAAACTGGGATTTATTCCTACCAAGCATGTGTATTGCTGCACTTGTTTCTGTGCTCAAGTAAAACTCCCAGTTATTGTGTGTGTGCTGGTTACATGTTTATATACACAGCTGATAGATGAGATGTTTAAAGTCTATGTTGAGTGTTATCAGCAGCGGAATTGTATGGCTGGGCTGATAAATGAAGTAACTGTGCTAAATGAGCTCAGATCTTATCCATCATAGCATTACACAAGGCCAATAGGACGTTTACATGAATGACAGCTGTGGATTTATTGTTTTCTTGGAGAAACCAGTGTTTGATTGATACTCAGAGTGTCAGAAACACCCTTCCTGAGACTCACCTCTTGTAAGTTTGATTCCTGGTTCCATTATTTAGTTTGTGTTTTGCTGGTTTTAACAGTTTGTTGTAGAGTCATTTAAGTTGGAAAAGACCTCTGGGATCATATTTAGTTTGTGTTTTGCTGGTTTAATGATGTAGCTTTTATTTTGGATGATGAAAGTGAGATCTCACATAGCTGAGTGCTCGTATGTGATACGGCCAAGGAAAGCACTGCCCTCTCTAGAAGCAGCCAAGGAGATAAAAGTGGATATAATGGATGCTCCAAAAGGATATAGGAGAAAGCACCAATTTTTTGGGAATATAAATGAGAACAAGACTAATATTGGTGTTTTTTCATTGCTATGGTTTGCCTGTAAAGCCCAGCAGAAGGAGCCAGCAGATGACAGGTCTCAGTGAGCAGGTTTAGAGCAATTGTGAGCAGTAGCAGCATCACAGTAGTAGATTCATAGAAACTTGTAAAACAAGTACGGCCTGATGATAGATGGTCAAATGATTATTGTTTGCAAATAATATTATCTTCAATAGATAAGCTGTTTACTTTGGACTTCAGCTCCTCTGGGTGGAACGGAGTCTAATTTATCAAGGCAGAGTGGTTCAATGCGGATGCCTCATGCCCCAGCTGTGGAAAAACTCTTACATTAAGAATAGTACTTGGAACCACAGTGCAGTTCAGCTCTAACTCACTTTTACAGATGGTTTCTATATTGCAAAGAATATTGGCTGTTTCCTGGCTGTGCTTTTTTTTTCTCTTTTTAAACCCCAAACACTTTGTTGTAAGAGAGTTAAAAGACGAACTCCTGAAACTCACAGTAGACATGTGCCTGTTTGTTTTGTAGCTGTTTCCGTGCCTCGTCTTAGTCTGGAGCTTTGGGCTTTCAATTTGGATAATCTGGCGCTATGCATCCAGCCCCCAGGCTCTTCCAGGCACTGCTCCTCATCGCTGCCACCAGCCTTGTCACTGTCACCAGCAAAGGTAAGGCCTCGCCCAAGCCGGGAATTTGGAGGTTTTGGGGTTGAGCTCAAGCTTTGGAACAAACAACGCTTGGGAGTGCGTTTCAAAGTGGCCAACTGTAATGGGGATTGTCAATAAACTGCTTTTAAGGAAGCATGGAGCACTGAAACACAGCCTTACACTCAGTATATGACTTTGCTTGTGAAAACTTGGCTCAAGACAAGAACCAGAACATGGAAGACTCTGAGTTACATGGATTTGTTCCTTTGGATCTCCGTGGATTCAGCTGGATGCCGATTCTGCTGCATGCAGTGCATCTTGTGTTCCCAGGGGTCGGGAGGGGTTTGGATTTGCAGGGGGAGAGGGGAATCAGCCCTTTGAAATGCGAAAGCTGATGCGTGGCTGCAGTTGGAACAGCTCTGGTGTTAAAAAAAAGAAGAGGGATGGTTTTAATTGACACATCTGCTCTGTGTAGTCAGCTTGTCTTAACGTAACCACACAAAAAAGAAGCTTTTACTACTTTTAGCACTTCATAGCCAATCGTTATGAGCAAATGGGATAAATTTTATTTTTCAAGCAGTCATAGGAGATAAATTCCAGCTGCAGGGTCACTGCTACCAATTTTGCCTTTTACACGAAGTGCAGTGTTGGTGTCAGAAGTGAGGGCAGGGGCGAAGATGAAAGTAGCAGTATGATTTCATAGCAATTGGTGGCAAGCAAACAGAAAAGTCAGTGCTTCCTTCTTATCCCTGGAAATTCAAACTGAACTAATAGGAAAAACAGTTTTCTAATTAAAAGCTAAAAATGGACATCTGGAGTCCTGCGAAATGCTTGGATACCATTTTTATGAATTTCATCTTTTTTTGTTAAGTGAAGCCACGCTTTAATTTCCAGTTTTATTTTATGTTTATGCAGATAGTTTATGGTTCAGTTAAAAATGTGCAGTTTCTCATCTGAAACTCATAACCAGAGCTGGGATGGACTGACTTGAGAAGAAAAGCATGAACCCAGGGCCCCACCTATAAGAAAACTGTCTCTGACTTGGATGTCATTTAATATCATCTTGACCCGTACTATCTGGAATTCCTTAGATCCTTTACAAAATAGAAGCTGTTTTTCCCTGCCAATGTGTCTATTTTTAATTTAGTTTTTTCTCCTAATTTATGTTATTAACCAATTAAGTATTACTGGTGTTAATTGCCTTTTGCTTGCTTCCCTCATGCAAAATCTTTAGTGGAGAATTCAACAGAAAACAAATGGAAATACTTCCCAGTGTTTCATTGGCCAGGATAGGAAAAAATCTCTTCCAACAAGCAGGAATTTTCTTCTGGCAAATAAATGGATTCTCATAACCAAGTTCTGTGGAATTGAACCTTTTATTTATTAGCAGCTCTTCCTGTTTCTGTTCATCTTTACTCAGTAAAGATAATGGATGCCCAATTCATCATCCTTGTCCTGATGAAGTCCATGTATTTGGAATTAACAGGAGCCTTTGCTGTTCGTCCAGCTTTTTTTATCCTGCTATTTTTAATTAGTTCTGCAGACTCGGAGACGGTTCTGTGTAAATACCTGGCAGGCTCCTGCCATTTCTAGCATTTTACAAGTCACGTCCAGGCCTGCTTCATATGGGACAGATCAGCTACAGCTGCATGTTCCTGTGCTCTGTCTCTTCAGGTGACGGGTGCTGTTTTCCTCTGCATAAATCCAGTGGGATTCCAATTTTTGCTGGCCCTGGCAAGCATGACACCTCTGCACACTTGGGGATGTACCTGTCCCTTACTGCACCTACCTATATTTAATTGTTGTTACCCCCCTTGTGGGGTTTGAATCCTAATGGTTTCCCATTGTTTGAGAGTGAGCAGGAATCTCTCCTGAGTTCCTCTTGCCAAGGAAAAGGCAACACTTGCTTGAGTATCACTTGCAACTTGGTATTTAGAGACCCTTTATGTGGTGAGTCTTTCCTACCAGTCAGCACATTGTTAACCTTATCACCTGTGTCCATGCAAAATTCTGCTCTCTAACTCAATATATGTCTATTTTTCCTTTTAGATTTAACTCCCCATTTTATTTCTGAGCCCTCATCTACTGTCCAGAAGTCTGGTGAGCCCGTCCAGCTCCGCTGCTCTGCTGAGCCCTCCTCAGCTCGCATTTCTTGGCTGTTTAATGGGGAGCCTCTGGACAGCAGGGTGGGAGAAGTGGAAATCCAGTCAGGATCTTTGACAATCGTGTCCCTGAGCCCGGAGATGTGTGGGCACTATCAGTGCATGGCGAGCAGCAGCGTGGGGGCCGTGCTGAGCCGGCCAGCCACCGTGTCCATGGGCAGTAAGTTCATCATCTGCATTTCTGTTCTTTGCTCCTTGCCAATTCTACAGACCTCAGCTGGCTTGTGTGGTTTGTTCTTCTTTGGCTTTTAGAAAACGCCTAGATCAGAATGTTCTGGGGTGTTTTATTCCTCAGCCAGTACGTACAATATGATGGATTATACACTTCTTGCCTTTCTTTTTAATTACATCATCTGAGACCTGTCAGGTGATGCAGCCCTGGAACAGATTACCCAGAATGTGGATCCCCATCCTTGGAGGTTTTTAAAGCCTCAGCTAGGCCAAACCATACCTGATGGATTTAGTGTTGGTGTCATCCTCATTTTCAGTTGAAGGATCTTAAGTTTCTCATTCAGCAAACACAAATGTTAATCAATGAAATAATATTAATTTCCATGAATTGACCTGAAAATACAAGATTCCCAAATGCTTCCCTTCACAAAGGATGTTGAAAGAGCAGCTGAGCTGCCACACCATTGCAGAAGCATGCTTGAGAGTTGAGGAGAAATCTGTGGGAATTGTTGCCTGGGAAATAAGTGTGAGCTGCAGATCTTAATTTTCATTTGATTTGATCAAACCAGTGCCTTCAGGAGGAGCCAGTCTTCTCTCCTCTTAGGGACAGCTTCCCTTCTCTTAGTTGCACTGGTTCTTCGGATCAGCCTTTGCCTTGATGCTTGATCTGTAAATTATGTGACCTCAAGGGATTTGGAAGAGGAAGGACAATGCCTTCCACATGGAAAGGACAGTGAGGTGCTGAGAGTAGGAGTACAATGTTCCTGCATGATCATGATTTGTCTGCTTGGGACCTGTCGCTGTCTGAATCAGGTCTTTGTCAAGCAGGGTTTGAGTGATTTCTCTGGAAGGGTACCTCATCTATGGAGCATGTCCAAAATGCCCTTGGGAGGAAAATCTCTTACAAGTGTTTTGGTAAAGTACTGACCCATGGCCAGTCCCTCTCAAGAGAGCTCCAAGGGTGGCCAACATAGGAAAACTTCACAGCTTCAAAGAAGTTTGAAGATGGAGGGAGTAGAAGAGCAGCTTTCACACTTCCCTCCTCCCTTGGAGGTTTTGGCAGCACATAGGAAGGTGCAGGGAGCTCTGTGCCTGCCTGTGTTCATTATCATCCCAGAAAGACAATTCCATGTTTTTATGGACAGGCTTCCTGCTGTCAGTGAGAATTGTCTTCTGTAGTTCCAGCAGAGCCTATGAGGAGTCCTGCAGCCTTTCCAGTGTCTCTGCTGGCTTTTCTGGGAGCAGTTGAGGGGATGTAGGAATTATTTTTTTCTCCTCACTGTTCCCATGTAAAAGCTGGCACTTTTTGTGTAAGGAAGTGGATAAAGAGGCTTTATGCTGTTATGGACTGCAGGACAGACCAGGCCTGTTGATGTGGATGTCCAAAAGCTGCACCAGAAAAGATAATCATGAAACCAACTGTATTCTGAACACAAATACTGATCTTACTGCCAAGGCTGCTCTTACCCTGTTCCCAACTGTCTCCAGGTTTAGCTGACTTCGATGCTTTGGGGAGAGCTGCTGTTGCAGCAGAAGAAGGAGGCACAGCTCTCATCAGGTGCAAGGTGCCAGAAAGTCACCCCAAAGCACAGGTTCGCTTCCAAGTGCGGGGGAAATGGCTGGAACAATCAACAGGTGAGGTGTTTTGTGCAATATAAGTATCCAGCAAAAGCTTGCGTGGAGTTTTTTCTTTGAACCTAAAGGAAAAAAGTCCTCTGTAAACTTGCAGAACTTCCTGTGCAAATCACTTTATCTACCCGTGGAAATTAGTCTCCTTTGCATGGTGATTTCTTTTGACATTTAGAATAAATAGATATAGCTGATAAATTAAAAAAATTACAAAAAGGAAGACATCTTTTGAAACTAAATTAAATTTAATCCTCTTTTTCCCTTCTCCACTTCTTTAGACAACTACCTAATTCTTCCATCTGGAAACCTGCAAATTTTGAATGTATCTTTAAAAGACAAAGGTTCCTACAAGTGTGCAGTGTACAACCCAGTTACTCATGACCTCAGAGTAGAACTCACTGGACAGAAGCTCACAGTCACACGTGAGTATTCAGTTCAGCTTTCCAGAGTTAATACAGCTCAAACAGAATAAACAACATCCCTAAAGTTTCTAGCAAGGGCCTATCAGTGCCTCCAGCATCATGGTATGTAAGATCTCTCTTGCATTTGTTGCACATCCAGTTTTTATTCCCCCTCACTGTGGAGGAGCACCATGACTGCTTTTCAAATCCCAGGCAGTCACCTGTGGAAAGGGAATACTGCTAATACTTCTGTCCCCAAATCTATTTTGGAGCAGGAAAGACAGTGTTACAACATTGTGCTCAGTCCCAAATGCAGTGTTTGAAAGACATGGAGGGGGACAGAGAATGGGATGGAGGGCGTGGTTTACAAGTTCAGTTGGTTTCTCCTGCAAGGAAAAGCTAAGAGAATTGGGATTGCTCAGCCTGTAAAATAGAAGGTTTAGGGGTGATTTAATTGTGACCTTCCAGTAGCTGAAGGGAGCCTACAAGGAAAATGGAGAGAGAGGGCCTGGAGTGACAGGACAGTGGCTGTCCCATCCCTGGAAGTGTTCCAGGCCAGGCTGAACAGGGCTTGGAACAACCCAGCTTAGTGGAAGGTGACCAGAAACCCAAACCATTCTGTGATGCTATTCCACAATTCATCTCCTTTCCTCCAGGCCCTTCTTCAGGTGGCTCCCACATCCTTCACCCGCTGGCTCCCCAGAGCCTGGCAGTGCCCCAGCACAGCGCCCTGACCCTGGAGTGTGTGGTCAGTGGGTCAGCTCCAGCCCCCGTCCTCTGGGTGAAGGATGGCCAGGATGCTCTGAGGAGAGGCAGGTGGAAGCTGCTGCACTCTCACCTGGTGACAGACCGGCTCGAGCCATCGGATGCTGGAAATTACTCCTGCGTGGTGGGAAGTGACTCTGGAACAGTGAAATATGTTAACTATTCACTTACTGTACTTGGTAAGTGTAAAAGTGGTATCTGCATCACTTAATCAGTGGCTTGTTTGCAGTTTTCTTCTGTTTTTACTCGAGGTCAGGATGAAAAACACAAAGGAGATGAATTTTTTTATCTAAAGTACAGACAGTTTTGTAACACTTCTTGCTACCAACTAAAAGTGAGCAAATTGGAGGTGAATAAGCCAGTTACAAGGTCTTTTTAAAGCTAAACAGTCCAACAGAGAATTAACACCTATATTATTTATACTTTTGACCCAATAACCAAACTCCCATGGCCTGCAGTGCAGCACAAACCATCCAACCAGAAACTACTGCCTGAAATCACGAAGAAGGAAGAAGAACACAGAAAGAAACAACATTGAAAATTCTCAATCTTGTCCCATGCTTGTTACTATATTCTAAAACCCCAATTTTAAAACTCTTCATCATGTGAAATCACACACTCCTATTTTAACTACACACCCGTGATTTTAACTCAATCACTCAAATTTGGAAGCCTTCTCCAAGGCCTCAGCTCAAAAGCAGTGTTCTCCAGGGGGTCAGTGCCAGAAAGCACAGAAAACTCAAAAATCCCAGGTTTCTGGGATCAAGCAGGTGAGAAGTAAAGACATTTTCACATCCAGGCAACAAACAAACTCTTCGTGTACCTGCTACTTTTGGCATCTGCTTCCAAACAGCTTTGCATTCTTTCTCAACCTTAAGTGCATTAAAATAAAGAATACAGATCTGTTTATAATGACCATATCCCATCATTTCTCCCAAGTTAAAATCTGTTATTATTTATCTCCTTAATCCATTTGTAGTCTGAAATAATGAAATCATTGTTATAATAATAACAAACTCCAAGGGAAGACCTGATCCATTTACTTTCCTGCAGAGTGCCAGTGTCAATAATGTGCCAGGGACCAGATTTGCTTTGGAGGTTGTGTGTGAACAAAAAGCTGGAGAGGGAAGGTGATATGTTTGGATGAGAGCATAAACAAAAGCAAAAGAAACATAATCATATATTTGACCTCTTATTTGGTTGCTAGTTGTTTCTTCCTTCATCTCCTACTTCCATTGTAGGAGATTTTCCTGGTATTTGAGTTTTTCTGCATTCATGACAGATTTTGTTTGGGTTTTAAAATGTGTATGTTGGAGTTACTCAGAAAACAGGGCGTTGACACACGACACACCTCTTTTTGGGGGATGTCATTAATTAATTGTTTTGAAAATAGAAATGTTTTATTTACAAGATTAATTTAGATATGTGCCTGTGGAATAAAAGGGAGAAACCATTCAAACAAGCCCATGTGTGGGAAGACCAGCTTCGGGCTGTGCAGCTTGTGGTACTTGCTCAGCCTTTGGATGTGATAAGCCTGTGTAATATTTCACAGCAGCTTTTTCAGGACTTAGACTAAGTCATTTATGTGGGATCATTTCCCTTTCCAGAACCTGCCTCACTCTCCAGGGGACTGCAGGATGAAACCGTGGCCGCCGGAGCCAGCGTCCATTTCTGGTGTGACATTGGTGGCAGCCCCGCTCCCAGCCTCACCTGGCTCCACAATGCTGCTCCTCTCCAGCCCTCCCCACGACATTTCCTCACAGGAAAGCACCTGCACATCTGTGGGGTCACCCTGCAGGACTCTGGCTTGTACCAGTGTGTGGCAAACAATGGGATTGGGTTTGTGCAGTCCACGGGGAGACTCCGTGTCCAGCCAGGTAGGAGCACTTGCAGCCCTCAAGAACTTACATTAAGCATTTATACTTTAGGCTTTATTCTTTCCTCTACTTTAAGCTTTGTTTCCCCCCTAGATTATGTATTAATTTGTTTCTGACCACTAATCTTACAAAGAAGGTGCTTTCAGCTGGATTTTAAGAGATGTAAGGATTTCTGGGGTAGTGTGGCTGCTTGATACTTAAAACCTGGATTATCAGCTGCAATCAAATCAGCTTATGATTGGATTTGATGTGATTTATTCTTAAATAGAATCAGGATCCTGTTGTGCTGGATGAGCTGGTACTCCTAGTAGTATTGGCTGCTGAGTAGTTAAGCCTGTTCTATAATCAAGTTTACACAACAGTCATCAGGTTTGGGGTTAATGCACACTTCCCCTCTATCAGATTGGCAGGATCAGGTACCAGTAGTCTTTTTGATCTCTTTTCTGTCTAAGATACCTTCTAATACCCAGAGAAGTTGATTTCTGCTGGCATGAGGATGCTGGCAAGACTGTTGCTGTCCCTGTCCTCTCCCTGTCGTGCATAGCTGAAGCTTTGAACCTTCTCTGGACCAGTTATGGTTGGTGTGAGCTGTGCAGAGCCTGGCTGAGCAGAGATTTTGTGGCCTGTGGGTGTGTGGAGTGGACTAAGCCAGTCTTGTCTACATTGTGTTCCTCATTGATAGTCAAATCTTTGTCATTTAGAGAATTTAAAGTGTGGTTTGAGTGTAGGTTTTAATCGGCCTTCTCTGAGGAGGAGTCTGTGCTGATTACTTCAGTTTACCCTTCTAAAGTCTTGAGATGCTGTGTAGAGAAGAAACAATTGTTAAAATGGTTAGAAAGAACCACGTGTGATTTTTAAAATTGTATTGACTTGTTCTGGCAGTTAAGTGTCATATCCCTTAGTTGAATTAATTTTTGGTTGTATTTCCCCCCAGACAAAGACTCTGTCCCCATCATCGTCTCTTCCCCAGCCAACACCACCGTGGTGGCTGGCGAGGACGTGACCCTGTCCTGCAACGCCACCGGCGTGCCCGCTCCTCTGATCCGCTGGTACGACAGCAGAGGCCTCGTGGTCAGCCCCACTCCGGAGCTTCACCCCAAACCCCAGAGCCCTCCCCGGGCAGGGGCAGAGCCCTGGTGCCCCTCGGTGCCCCGGCTGGGCTGGGGCTCCCTGCTCCTGCAGAACGTGACCCCCGAGCGTGCCGGCGAGTTCCGCTGCGAAGCCAGCAACGAGCACGGCTCTGCCCTGTCCTCAGCCTTCCTCACTGTGGGTAAGGTGAAACCCCGAACTGCCCTCTTGGCTCCCTGATGTGGGTGAGAAATGCCTCAAAAGAAGAAATGCATGGCAGGTGGGTGGGGTGGAGTCTCAGGGAAAGGAAGCAGAGGAGTCTGAATTGTCTTCATGGATCAGTTCCTCCCTCCCACCTTAGGCAAAGGAGGAATGCTGTGTGCATTAGCATCTCATATGTGATAAAAACTATCTGAGGGTGGTATTTTTAATTTATTTTCTTTATTTCTGTCTAGGAAAAGATAGTACTTACAAAATAGCAAGATGGGAAAGAGCCTTTCCTCGCATTGAAATATTATGTGACATTAATAAGAGGTTTGAGCTCCCCCAAGTTCCCTTCACAAGAACTGAGATGCAGATTTTTAGTTACATGAAGTTACTTAAGTTTCTCAGCTCTTTCAGCACCTTGCCTTAGTTAATTTAGCTGAATGCCAGGGAGATTTCAGGTCAGTGGGATTTCATATGTGGCCCTATATTTAAAGTTCTTTGGTTAGAGATTAAAACTCCTGTAAATAACATGAAAAGATGCCTAAAGGTTCACTTAGGGGAAAAAAAGAAAGAAGAAACCTCAAGAAAGTGATCCCATCATGTAGTTTTATAAATCAGTTATTTTTGGACCTTGCTGAGTGGAAACACGAAACTAAATATCATCCCAGAATTCAGCTTGTGTTAAAGAGAAAAATCCCACTGCTTTGCCTCAGAATTTTATGGCAGTGAGTTCAATTTTAATGCTTTGTTTATTAACTTTTATCGGTTTCTAATACGTTGTACTGGCTGCTGATTATGGTGCAGAGGGTGGTTAAGGCATTTGGTTTTGATATAAAAGTCCCTGAGGGCTTTCTGGGAGCTGTTAGGGGTTTAGAACAGCTCCCAGCCATGCCAAAGACATGCTCAGACACTCAGCTGTTTAATGAAGAATTCCTGCCAGGTAACACTTCTGAAGCACCTGAATGACTTCAGCTGGGATTCCAGGGCATTTCTTCAGTATAACGATCAGCTTAAGCACCTTTCAGCCTCAATACCTGTTCCTGTAATTTGCCTTGTCCCAGCACACAGTAAGAGAGCCCATTTGGCTGAAAAATATATATATATATTTTTTTTTTCCCTCTGCTGGATCGATTCCAGGCTATGATTCATTGCATGGACTTACAGCGGGCAGGACAACTTCAGCTGCCATCATAGTGAGAAACCACCAAAATGTAAAATGATGCCTCAGGATCCTGTACCCACAGCCCTCCCTTTTTAAAGTCTTTTTTAGACAGTTGTGGGGTTGGTCTGCATGGCAGGAGCTTCCCAGAGCTACTGAACACAAGGTTAAATCTCCAAAATAACTTCATCTAATGGAAATTAAGGAGAAAAATACACTGCAGGTAGTCTGAGTAGCAGGAGAGGGAGTGCAAAACACAGGGAGCATTTAGTCTGTGCATGTGGGTGTTTCAGGGGCAAATGGGCTGAAGTTGCTCCCACAGAAACCTTAGAGAAGCTCTGGGACATCCTAATGTGATTTGAAACACGTGCCAGGCGTGGGTGACCTCAGTGATGTGCTGGTTCAGGTTTTCAGAGGGCTTTCCCAGCCTGCTGAGGTATTTGGAGAGCTTGCAAAGCAGGCAGGATCCTCTGGCTGTTAAAGAAGCAGGGAAGAAGTGCCTGGGAATGTGAGATAAAACCTGGAGCTGCCATGCTGCTCGCTCTGCTTCTGACTGTACCCCGGTCAGGAGGGGAGCAGCAGAACAAGCAAAGGTGCTGTGGAACACAGCAGGTGGGGAAAGGTTTCTGCAGGAGGAGAGGCTCAAAAAGTGAGGGCTCTTCCCCTTTGAAATGAGGCAGCTGAAGGGGAGAAACAACAGCAGGCATAGAGTACTGGGTATTATGGAATGTGCAAGTTGGAGCCAGGCTGGGAGAGTTGGGATGGTTCATGCTGGAGAAAAGAATCTGGGGAGATCTGAGACCCCCTTCCCATGTCTGCGAGAGCTGGAGAGAGTTTTTCTACAAGGGATGGAGGGACAGGACACAGGGAATTACTTCCCACTGCCAGGAGGCAGGGATGGATGGGATATTGGGAAGGAATTGTTCCCTGTGAGGGTGGTGAGGCCCTGGCACAGGGTGCTCAGAGAAACTGTGGCCTCATCCCTGGGAGTGGTCAAGGCCAGGCTGGACAGGGCTTGAAGCAACCTGGGATAGTGGAAGGTCCTCTGGGGAAGTGGGGCATGGAACTGGATGGCCTTTAAGGTCCCTTCCAACCCAAATCATTCTAAGATTCTATGAATACATTGTTTTAAAACTCCAATTTTGGGACATTCAGTCCTTCTCTGGTTGCTGGTGGGATCAGGATTTTGGGTGCAAGCAGTCTTTGGCCTGACTCAGCTCAGTGCTGCTGGTGTTCCCAGTGGGATTGGGAAGCTGAGGAAGAAAAATCTCCATGGCTAAAGGGAAAGGGATGGCACTGAGAGCAACAGCCAAAAAAAGTTGCATAATAACACAGCAGCAGAGAGAAGGCTGATGTGCTGGGTTATATGGGTAGTAATTATACCAGAAACTTCGCAAAAAGAGCTTAGATCTGAATTACTTAATGGGAATTGTTACCCAGGGATTGTTTTCCAAAGCAAAAATACAACAACCCTTCAGTTGTTGACGACTCCCCTCCTGCAGCAATAAACACAGCGCTGGCTGTGGGTCTGCTGTCACCAGCTGAAACCACAACTCATTCTCCACTCCAGTGGAGTGTCCCCAGTGCCAGCAGGCGTCAAACCAAGCTGTGCCCACCCACATCCTCGGGGTCCACCACGCTGCTCAGGGCCTTCCACCTCCTCCCATTTGTTTCCAATATCACGCCCTTCCCGCTGCTCCGCTGACAGCAGAGATGCCCTTTCTCTCAGGGATTGTTCTGGGAGTGTCTGGCATTTTAAGACCATCTGGGCTTTGGGGACATCCTCCCCATGTTGTTGCCTTCTTCCTGTCTCTGAATTTTGTGGCATTGCTAAATAAATGAGAAGAAACAAACAAGGAGTGCTTGCCGAGAGCGTGTCTTCAATTTGAAAAGAGAACTTTCCTTCCCAGCTTTTTAAAAAGTGGCCAAAAATAGCAGCCACACTTGCTGCTGGTATTTTAATGGAGGTTTGAAGGAATCTGAGTCAGCCAGGCTAACACTGCCTAGGCTTTACATTACCAAGGAATTTGTTTGTTTTGTAAACCAAGTTCCCTTCATTCCCTTCCCCTTCCAGACCCCGGCACGTAACATAAACCTACACAAATCTGAAAGGACGGACAGGGCTCCGAACATCTGGCTGTCCTGCTGCTGCCGTGTGCAGCCTTGAGGAGCTGTGCTGCTTCCCAAACCTTCTTGCTTTAAGTACTGATGTTTTCTAGTCCTGGATAATCTCAGATGTCCAACCTGCCATCCTTTTCCTGCCTGGGATTCTAACGAGCCCTGCATCAGCCAAACAGGGCTTTTTTTTTGTTTTTTTTTGTCTTGTGGCCTCTTTTAGACTGCTGATACTATATAGATTTCTTTTTCATACCAGCAAAAGTAAATAGGATGGAGAGGGCTGGAGAAGGATTTCTAGAAATGCCTTGGTATTAAATTGCATGTAGATCTTCCTGTAAACTGAGTTTATTCTCAGCATAAATTTTCAAATGAAGTAGTTGAGTTGTGCAGCTTTCAAAGCTTCTCTAAATTACAGCTAAAACCTCAGAAACTGGGGTAGGAGAATGTCCTCTTGTGTGCATGCCAGTGCAGGCCATGAAAAGTTCCTTGTACAACGGCGTACAAATTACTCTGTTTGTCTCACAAATTTAGCTATATACTTATTTATTTCTTTTAACATGTATTGCCATGACTTAATTTAGTGGAGATACAGTCAAACTGTGCCTGTAGACCTTGAGTTTCAGCTTTTCTGTCTTTGCTACTGCGAAAAAAACACCAAACCAAATAAAACAAACCGAACCCCACCGCTGTGCCCTGTAAAAACACCCAGGCCGCAGCTTGGCACCAGGCTCAGATCTGTGTGGGCACCTCTGGACCTGGCGTTTTGCAGCAGGGCTTGTTTGGAAATGTCACTGTGGAATGATTGAGCGTCCCCTGGGCGCGGGGCGAACGCACGTCATGGTGGGGATGTAACCAGACCCTCCCTTTGCAGTTCCTTCAGCAACTGGCACGAGAGCAGGAGAAACAGCTCCTCTGGAGCTCGCCCAGAGCGACCAGAGCGGCGCTGATGTTGCTGCAGAAATGGCATTTCCAAGCTCGCCTCCAACGAAATCTCCCCTGGACGCGGCTGCCATGGACAAAGCGCCGAGCGCGGCCGCCCCGCCCGAGGCCCCCATCATCCTGAGCCCCCCACAGACCCCCAAACCGGACACCTACAGCCTGGTGTGGCGGCCGGGCCGCGCCGGGGGCCTGCCCATCAACGCCTACTTTGTCAAATACCGCAAGGTACTGTCCCATCCCAATCATCCCCTGCCATCCCAACCATCCCCTGCCATCCCAACCATCACCAACCATCCCAGCCATCACCAGCCATCCCAGTCATCCCCTGCCATCCTCTGCCATCCCAACCATCACCAGCCATCCCAACCATCCCCAGCCATCCCAACCATCCCCTGCCATCCCAGTCATCCCCTGCCATCCTCTGCCATCCCAACCATCACCAGCCATCCCAACCATCCCCTGCCATCCCAACCATCACCAGCCATCCCAGCCATCACCAGCCATCCCCAGCCATCCTCTGCCATCCCCTGCCATCCCAGTCATCCCCTACCATCCCAACCATTACCAGCCATCCCAACCATCACCAGCCATCCCCAGCTATCCTCTGCCATCCCCAGCCATCCCCTGCCATCCCCGTCATCCCCTGCCATCCCAGCCACCCCAACCATTCCCAGCCATCCCCTGCCATCCTCTGCGATCCCCAGCCATCCCCTGCCATCCTCTGCGATCCCCAGCCATCCTCTGCCATCCTCTGCCATTCCCTGCCATCCCCAGCCATCCTCTGTCATCCCAACCATCCCCTGCCATCCCCAGCCATCCTCTGCCATCCCAGCTACCTCAACCATCCCCTGCCATCCCCTGCCATCCCCTGCCTTCCCTGCCATTCCCAGCCATCCCCTGCCATTCCCAGCCATTCCCTGCCATCCTTGCCATTCCAGCCATTCCCAGCCATCCCCAGGCATGGTTCTGTGCGTTCCCCAAGGATCCAGTAGTGCTGGTGTTATCCAGGACATGGCAGAACACAGTCTGTAGTTGGAGCACAACATTCCTGTGCCTGCACAGCTCGTTTGAGGGGTGGCTGACATTGTCACCAAGACACTGCTCTGGCTAGTTTTGAGTGAGATTTATCTACTTTATCCAGATTTATTTTTCTGTCCTTTACAGTGTCATTATGGAGAGTGGGGCTCCAGGGCGTGCTGTGTGCAGTCAATGGGGTTAAAAATGTGTTTAAATGTGAGCCAGCTTGAATCTGTGTGTGAGAGCAGAAGGGAAGCTGAGTTTTACCTTAGTACCTCACCGAGTTTGCTGCTCTGGGGCCCAAAGAGACTCAGTTAAACTGAAGTTACCAAATATGAAAGTGAACTGAAATTTTCAGGGCAGTACGTACTATGCATTAAAAATAGTGTGTCAACACCGAGCTCCTTTGCTTCACATAACATGGTGGGATTCCTGGGGTCTCTTGAGCAGAACCAGGAGTTGGACTCTGTGATCCCTGTGGGCCACTTTCAGCTCAGGAGGTTCTGTGATTCTGAGATCAGAACCAAGCAATGCTTGCATCTGTTCTTCCAAGCAAACCAGTTTTCTGCGTGGCAAAGCTGTTTGATGTATTTTTCATAAGCTTTTTAATCCTCTACATCCTGATCTTGTCTTAGCCTGGAGGGAATGCTTAGATTTTTGACCTGTTGGTTCCTGAAAACCAAGTGCCAGAGTTTGTTGGTGATAATTTCTCATCCAGAGGCGGTTGGTTCACATAAGCTCTGGAAGCTCTGAATGCTTTTTTGACCTTTTTGACGCTCTCCCTTCTCTCACACCAATGCTTTCCACATTAAATGTGCTCACTCATGCATTTCTCGGCAGTAAATTTATCCTGGTTTTTAGGGTGGTGCTCTCTTTGTGTCATTAAATTATTTTATTGATTTCCCTCTTTTAATAGAGGAAAAAAAAGTTGGAGGAATAAAAACCTTGGAGTGGCTGCTGTAGAAGAAAATAGTTGAACAAAGACCTCTGGCATAACCTTTGATAATCCACAGCATTTAGATCTGACTCCAATGTTTTATTAAAGTCTTATATTGTTTAGTAGTTTATTTTTGGTGGAATCTTTGTCTTTTCCTTTGAGATTTGGGGTAATGTTTTCCTGCAAAGGTCAAGCATTAAGAGACTACCCAGAATGTCTTTGGAGCTGGTGGTTTCACTGCTAAGTTTAAAAGTGTTTTTGTTTAAAAAAAAAAGGAAACATGCATTGATAAACCCAAATCGTTAGTCTCCCTGTTGACTTTTTTCCCCATCCATAAGGAGTAACTAAGATACTTTTTGTTGCCCATTTTAGCCAATAAATATTTTTTAATGCTGAAGTATAGGGAAAGATGGACTATTGCAGGGAAAGTCTCCTTCTCATTAGGGTTATGGGTCCAGCCCTTTAGTAGCACACAGCTGAAGGCTGACTGAAGGCTTGAAAATCATTTGGGCTATTGTAGTTTTAACCACAAGTGAAAAGGAAAAAAATCACCCAGTCAAAACCAACTGCATGTGTGTGTGTGGAGAGGGAAAATAAGTTTATCCAAGGAGTGCTGTGAAAGTGGGTGCAAAGCTGCTGTTGGTAGTAGAAGCAGTTGGAGACAAACCATAGTAAGAGAATGTAGGAGAACAGCAGGAGTTTTGGTGAGGGGCAGAGGTCCTTTGGTGCCTGTGTGTGGAGTGGTGTGGGGTATGAGCAGTCCCTGGTTCTGAGCATGCTGTGCTGATGATGGTTTCTCCCTGTGTGCAGATAGAAAAAAAAACCATAGGTAAATGTAGGAGAACAGCAGGAGTTTTGGTGAGGAGCAAAGGTCCTTTGGGGTGTGAGCACTCCCTGGTTCTGAGCATGCCAAGCTGATGGTTTCTCCCTGTGTGCAGTTGAAAGCAAACCGTAGGTAAATGTAGAACAGTTTTGGCAAGTGTCACAGGCTCTTTGGGGTGTGAGCACTCCCTGTTTCCAAGCCTGCCATGCTGACAGTTCTCCCTGTGCACAACTGGATACAAACCATCGATAAATGTAGGAGAACACTTTTACTTTGGGGTGTGATGTGGTTTATGAGCAGTCCCTGTTTCCAAGCCTGCCATGTGACAGTGTCTCCCTATGTGCAGCTGGAGACAAACCATAGGTAAATGTAGGAGAACACTTT